AAAACCAATACAAGAGGTTTAACCTGAATATTTATTGTGATACTTTATTCTGCACTGCAGCTATAAAAAACACCAGCAGAAAGATGTGATCTAATTTTGTAAGAAATAGAGCAGGAACCATAAAAGGCTCCTTCCACACACTGAGCTGCCCCACTATAGTTATAAAAATGAGGACAAAGTTTGAACCTTACTTGGCATACTTTGTATGATTTGTTACTTCTATGCATGGGCTGGGTTTTTTTTTAATCCATATCTCATATTCTGTTGCTCTTTACTAACTGCTCTTTACATTTATAATGCCATTTCTTTTTACATTATGTGCTTTAAGATAGCTCTCCCTCACTAATTAAAATAACTACCTCTGTTAAAATACTATTGCTTTACGTAAAATGAATAGTCTGCTGATTAGAATAATTCATTATCATGCCAGACCAAAGGGAACGCATAACCTTTTAGAGTCTGAAGTGGCAATGGCAGTACTTAAACTCTTGACTAACTCTGGTCTAGCAAGGCTTTGCCATCCCTCACTTCAACAACCTTGCAGAACAAACGTGCCCTTTGGTGTCTGGCAAACATGTAAAGGTCCAGGCTTTGCAACCTGGATAAGGCTGAGTAGCTGCTGGGAGTTAACGAAAACTGGCTATGTCTGTAAAGAAAGACTCATGGTGAAAACCACCATAATTTAGTTTCTTGATAACTAAATTAAATTAATCAGGAAATGTAAAAGGTGTTTTTTATGGCTGTGCTTCACTTACACAGCCAGGGAGCTCAGCAGCATCTTATGATGGGAAGGATGTGTGCCAAGGTAAGGTCATACCTGCACGCTTGAAATCAGAAATTTTAATGAGAAACTTCCTTACCTGAGTGACAGCATTGAATTTCTGCCATCCTGAGTTGTGCGTGGTATAGACATTTCCTGCAATATTGTAAAACTTCCACTAACTTTTTCTGGATAAATGTGATGTATAATAAATCCCGTGTAATGAATTAAACAATGGCATTTTTGCACAGGAAGACCCCTTATTCATTGTGTATTATTGTAATGACACTCAATCTCGAGTCATGAAAGAGACTTTTATGCTTCTTCAACTGAATGGACTTTGGTTTTTGCTGGCTGAGTCATTTCAGTGAAGTGTCTTGGTCGCCCATCACCAGCTGATCAGCAGACAGTCAGGATGATAAACTCAGGTGAATACAGTGTGCATGGCCACTGTTCACCTAAGTGACATAATAGATCTAAAAAAGATTTACTGGCATGAGAAGAAATGGAAACTGCATTACCGTTTTCTTTCAGTGCTTGCAACATTAAAGTAATGTTGCTTCTCTACTAGTTTCCACTGTGATTTATCTCGAACAAAGATAATTTGGAATTGCAAGAGCCAAGAAAAAGGCAGAAGAGAGACAAAAGGGAGAATGAGATTCTGGGAAAAAACTCAGTTCTTCCAGTGACATGCTTTGTCCTGTGGCATGTCTTTGCTGACTCTGCTTGTGTACTCTTGCTTCAAAAAAATTACCAATGGACAATTTATTTAACTGGATGAATGATTTTAGACTGTTGTACTTGAAACCGAAGAAAGAGCAAGCAAAAATGTCAGCTTGGATATTGTCAGGGCACAGTGTGAGCCAGATGTCCCAGGAAAAGTGTGGCCTCTCCAGGGCAGGCAGGACATGCGGTAGGGGGGCACCCTGGATGTCCTGCCCACCCCAGAATGAAAATACGACTATAAGCAGTGTATTGCTACTTGGGCTACTGAAACCATAAGGGAGAGAGACATCACTTTCTGTTTGTTTATCTTGGCATACTGACTTTGGCTCTTCACTCAGAAAAAAATGAGGGGCTGTGGCCACTGTGCTCTTGTTAACAGTTAGGGACAGTTCACTTTGCATGTGATGGATGTTTTACAATTACTATTCTTTAAACTGCAGTAGTGCAGCTGAAGAGGAATGAGGAAGCTACTCAGAAGATAAATGAATATGGCAGTTAATTAAGGATATATAGTCTCTACTTGAAGCAGTTTTGTGCTTTTAAGGAGGAATTGTAGGTGAAAGGGAGATGAGCTTGAAGAATTGTAGAGAAAGAACTTCGAAAAAGCAAAAAGAACAATTTCTCAGTGGTGTAATGGAGGGGGATTGCAGATTACAGCACATTTCCACTGAGGAGGGTCTTCATATGCATCTCAGTGAGATCACAGTTTAGAGGCAGGTATTGTGCTGCTTTACAGCTCAGCTTAATTGGATGGGGGGGGGGGGGGGGCAGGGAAAGGCAATTTGGCAAAGAATGAGGAGGAAAAGCCGTTGAAGTAAAACAGTATGAGAGGAACTTCATGCAAGATCTACTGTACTATGTACAGATTCTCTGCCCAGAAGTCAACAGGCATTTTACTAGTGATTTAAGAAATAGCAGGATCAAAGATTCTGTTGTAGTATCTGCCAAGCAGAACTATGTGCATATTATCTCTGTCAAAGAAAAATATTCTGAGCACAGTCAGCTAATTAAACAAATTACCTATTAGTCACTTGGATGTCAGGAAAGTGAGGTAAGCTTACGAAAGAAATGTCACATAGAAAGACACATCATCTAAAGAAATGGATTCCAGTACTTTACCCTTTCCTCTTGCTTGTTCAAATTTTCAGACCCAAAATTAATTGCAGAAAACTAGCTTTTAGCCTCTATTTCTAGATTTTTTTTCTGACCTGGTTTAAAGCTTGAGTTCATTCTGCTGCCAGACAATGAGATGTTGAAAGTCTGGAAAGAAACCACCACTTGCTGCTGTCCRTGTTGGGGACACTGCAGACCAGTGGGCCCTATCTGAGGTTTAGCTGTGCTCTGCAGGTTCATAGCCCAGGGCTGAAAAGAAATTGGTGGCAGTTTATTTTTTCTCTGTGTCATTAGGATCTATCAAGCCTAAGGGCTGTGGCGTTTCTTGCTTTGGTTTGGTTTTGTTTTACTCATCCTTGCTCAATGATTTAAGGAACAAAACGACATACATACTACAGAACAGAACCAAAACAAGCCAAGCAGATTCTTGTTTGGCTAGGACATAGAATTATTAAAATAAACTATCTTTTCCTCCTGTTTGTTTGTTTGGGTTTTTAACTATCTTCTTAGCTTTGTAATGTGTTTGAGAGAAAAAAGTTGACAATTTTGTACATATTACGGTTCAGCAGAACCTCAAGCAGACACACAAGCACATCAGTCAGTGCAGAAATAGCTACATATGTGGGAGTGGAAAATGCAATATCCATCTGGCTCCAGGATTTTATTGATTCAAGATTTTTTAAAATTCAAATAGTATTTAATATATGACCAAAGGGAGCTCTTTTCTTTTTTTTTCTTTTCTTTTCTTTTTTCTTTTCTTCTTTTCT